CTTTTCACCGTTGCGCTCCACTTATTCAGCTTCGTGAACAGAAAAAAAAGAAAAGAGAAATCGGAGGTGGAACTAGAAGAGAATATTATTGATAATACCTTCAACACTTACCTCTTTAACAGTAGTTTGATCATCAATTGCTACGAATATTTTGTATAAAAGAGTTTCGAAATAGTCTCCCAAAACTCGGTTCATCACAAATCCGTCTAGAGGTGCAACTGAAAATTGAGGCTCTTGAATAAAGCAAATTCTTTGAGTACGAAAAGAAATCGATATGCAGTAAGAAATGAAAGACTCGAATCTTCAAAAAACTCCATTATTATTGATAAAACCTCTTAATTTACACGAAACTTGTAGATTGCTGTCGAAATAGCTTCTTACCATAAACATAGTCGTACTCTTCAACCGGAACATCAAGGTATACCAGCCCTCTATTAAGCAATGACTGAATCACTGGTACAGGTAGATATCCTGCTGGTTGCGGGCCTTCATCTAGGATAGAATCCACCACACGACGTTCGTCATCCGTCAACAACTAGAACACAGGAAGGTTGAATTCCACTGACTTCTAAGACTTCTAAAAACATCAAAGCCAACCTTGATATCTGCTTCCAGAATACATCCCGCACATACAATCCACCATGGTTCCACAACTGACTGCAAAGGGATGTTTCAGATGATAGGAATATAGCCTATGATTTGGAAGATTCACAACTTTACAGCCTGGATTACGATTCCGCATCAAAACATAAATATTGCCCAGATGGTTGCAGAACACATTTTCGCCGCAAATATCATGACTGTTGTGCGACCTCACGACAGTGCTCACACTTGCTACAGAGCCTGTTCAGGCTCCTCAGTACGACGAAGTCTTTGATTTTGCTCTACACTACCCTGTTGTTCTCAGAAGGTAATTGAAAAAAAAAGATATTACTCCGTCCATGCACCCAATACAGCGAGTAAAAACCATTTTACAATTGTGGCAGTATTTCTTACCTTAGCAGGCTTTTGTGGCAACAATTCGCGTATGGGACGATTGCGACGTAGAAATTTTCGATTAGACCTAGAAGTAATGAATCGATCCCTTTTGTTTACATTAGGAAGATGTTAAGATACAAATTCTCGTTTCAACCATACCTGTTTTGATTCATCAAGTCGATATATTGATTACGGCCTATACCCAACAACCTCACTGCATCTGCGGCCGTAAAGTTAGGTAAAGAATCATACGATTTTTCTGATTGTATCATATCCTAAAAACCATCCTCTTAGAAAAATTATATCAATAGAAAGAAAAGTAAGGAAAAGCGAAAAACTAGTAATACTTACAATAATAATGTTAATATAGTAGTTGAACGGTGTTATTCGCAGCTCTTTGACAATGATATCAGCAAGATGATAAGGATAGAGCATTAAATGCGATTCACTATATTTTATAATCATATCGTAATACGTTTCTTCACTTTTCTTTACATGCCGTACTGTAAAAAGGCATATCGAAGGATCAAACAATTAACAACAACTAAAAAGCAACGGCAACAGATGAGATAATAGACATGAAAGTAAAAGAAACAAACAAATAAACAACTCAGAAAACAACGTACCTAGGTTCCCCTTGTATCGCAACTGATTCTTGATCGAATATTCCAGTACTAGTTTATCATATTCACGCTGTGAGTTTCCAAGCAAAACTCGTATATCTTCTGGCAACTTCTGCCATACTATATTCTCTCGTATGCACGTATCCACATCCATGGATTCGCAAACAATTTCAATCCTTTTTCCTCCGTTTTTCACGCACTCTACACTACGACTGCAAGTATAATTGGAGCAATTTTTAGTCTTCGATACTGTAATTTGCCACGCAGAGCAAGAAAAGAAGAAGGATAGGATGGCTAAACCATAGAAGTGTCCAAGTCTCATACGAATGAAATATACAAAACATTTATCAATAACAAATCTATCATTTACACTGTTATTGCCAATAGAGCAACGTATAAACAGCTTACAATAATAGCTAAAATGCGAAATGTGAGCGATTCTGTTAAAGAAAGCGCTTAACCTGAGAATGTACTCGAAACTCTTGAGGAGCTTTGAATAATGCGATTCGACAATTACAGACTCTACAAAATCTATAATAAAAGTAAGTGAATTTAATCTTTGACTAGAAAAATATCAACATCCGCGAATGCTTGTAAACAATTGAGATCAACATGAACGTGCATTGTTCAAAAACAGTACCTAAGTTGTATACAACAGTACGCTCAAAGTGAAGAATGACAGCTATTGAAAGAATTGGGGCACTGTACCATGCTGTTTAAGGCAATGATATGCAAAACGATCGTGACGCCAAAACCTGGCCGAACATCCAGGGACCGTACATTCCAATTCTCGCATCTTCAAATGTTCACGAAATACATGTGCGTCCACATTCTTCTTGTCAGCATAACTTATTCCACACTTCTTGCATGCATATGGCTTTTCTCCTTCAAAAACATTAAAAGATCTTTACATAGATCACAGCATGAGAATCTACAGAACACGAATATTTTATGGTAACTCATGTGAAAAAAAAAATACAAAAAATGGCAAAAAGTAGAAAGTCAGTAGCCTAGCAAGAACCTTCTAAGGCCTTGATCCCTTCACCAATTGCAATCACAAAAACGAATTCTCTGACCAAACCTGTATGAGCGCGAATATGCCGTACAAGATTGCTCTGTACTTTGAAGGACTGATTGCAATACTTGCACTTGTAAGGAGCTTCGCCAGTGTGAATGCATCTAGAAGTGTGAATCAGTATTAATCACAACGTCATGAGTAAACGAAATGAGTAATCTGGCTGACTATTCATTGCCATTACCGCAGCTCACCTTATGTGTTTCTCGAGTCCACTCTTTTCCTTCGATCGATGGTCACAGTAAGGACATTTGAATGGCTTTTCCATCATTAACTAAAACAACTGCATTGAGGGATTGCAAATCGGGGAACTGGATGCGCTGTGGGTTAGTCAAATCAACTAATTTCGGGTGATAGGAGGTAACGGTAACTTCATGACTCATTTATTATATGGTCATCATTTCTTCTTGCATTTGATGCCTTTAATGAGGCATCAAACGCAAGAAGATATGATGATCATATAATATATGATGGAAGTTTTCTGTGACTATATCTACAAGAGCACATTCGAGGTAAATAAATTTCNCATTAACTAAAACAACTGCATTGAGGGATTGCAAATCGGGGAACTGGATGCGCTGTGGGTTAGTCAAATCAACTAATTTCGGGTGATAGGAGGTAACGGTAACTTCATGACTCATTTATTATATGGTCATCATTTCTTCTTGCATTTGATGCCTTTAATGAGGCATCAAACAAGATACAAGAAGATATGATGATCATATAATATATGATGGAAGTTTTCTGTGACTATATCTAGAAGAGCACATTCGAGGTAAATAAATTTCGAGCAAACGGATAAGCAGTCACATGAAACCAATGCTGAATGACTCTTTAGAAACTTAAAGTCATCAGAACCCACCCTTTGATCACCCACTATCAGGGGTACAGTGACATCACTTGCTCCAACAATTTCTGGAAGACCATAACCGAAACTGTCAACAGCTGATGTTCTTCTCTCATTTTCTTGAAGGAACGACATCGTAACTGCTGGCACAGTGGCGTTACCATTATTAGCATCAGCTGAAGAGAAAAAGGTGTAGAAACTCGGTTTCAAAGAACATCATGGAAAAAGAGAATAAATGAATCTCAGCGAAACAATGGAAGAGAAAAGCTACTTATTGAATGATGAAGGTAAGTGAATAAAATAAGTCTGCAACAAGAGTTATTTCTGAGGGGGAATCGTTACTCTATTGTTGACCGATAAAAAATTAGCTCGAAATGCTTCACCAAGCAGAAATAACCTTATTATGAAGTAGCTCCTATCTTTCTCGATGACAAGAGATATACTAGGCAACATGGAAAGGAAAACGTACCGGTAGATACCACTGTGGTTCCTCTGACTATCAAAGGTTGATATCTATTACGATGCATACGAACAGCAGTTCTTCGACCACGACGAGGTCCCATGACGTACTCTTCGTAAATCGAATCATAATCATCGGCTGCTTGAGCAGTGATGTCTTCAGGGAAACAAACTAACGACGCGGCATTACCATTCAGTTTGATGCCTTCACTTCTACTGCCTGAAAGATGGTAATAGGTAATGAGTTATAGAGCGAAAAGGTTCCCCATGTCTTCAAAAAATAGTCTTTCTGGCTTCAACTGGGAACAAACAACGAATCAAATGAGAAGAAAGACGTACCACGAAGGAAATCATGGCCAATAGCTGGATTTCCAGTACCATTCTCATCACCAGGACTCGAAAAGTTCAAACCGAACACTCCTGCAGAGAACACACCAAAATAAGGTGAAATCTTTTCAACAATTCACGAAAAACCATGCTCCCTACACCGAAATCTTTAAATTTCAAGTGAAACGCTAGCACTATCATAACGCCTACAACACGAAACATTGTGCGCTGTCAAGCGTGATAGCAGCAAGAAATGATAAACACCTTATCGTTCTAGTTCCAAAATTCAATGAAAACGTGAATCGACATAAGAATGACTCACCATAATGGTTCGATTCTTCTTCCTCATCTGCTAATTTTCGAGCACAATGATCGACAAGATCGACCAGGCGATTCATGCCTAGTTCAAAAGCCGACAGGCGTAACATTCTGAATCGTCGCCTTCCCACATCTAACACTCCTGTGTATGCAAAATCCACGAGCATCTTCATGTTTTCCCTAAAAAGAAAATAATACAGAGCATTTCCGATGAACTTATACAAAATTCGGGACCACACAAAGCAGTTTCAATCTCAAATTTTCTGCCAAACACTCATCGTCACTACCCGAAAAATCAGCCTTCTGGAAGGCTTCACAAAACATGAATAATGAATGACCATTAGTAATTTTGGACGCTCAAAAGTCCGTTGAAGAAGAATTCCAATCATTTGAGTATGTATTCTTGACTCGGTGAAAGTTGCTAAACGTGTAGACTCAAAATTGGAGTAAAAGAATATTCTTACTTGGAAATATGCACACTACGCGAATCGATCCGTAGGGTGACTGTACCACTATCCAAAGTGCCCATCAATGCGGTCTCCAAATGTGCGCTATGCGCACACATCACCAGTCGATGACAACGAACTATAGCAAGACGCTGAAAGAATCATTACTAAGGAATACTCAAATGGAATGCGATCATAATTGCTAAAAAAATATAAACGCGCCTCAAACTGAAAAAATACTGTAGACAAGAGGAACTATTCAAGAGAATCAAAAATGATCAATGAAAAATGATTAATAGTTTTAAACTGACTTCAGTCACAATATTACAATCGAGAAACTTCGACTCCTTCCTAAATTTCGCTAATTGTTCCTGAAAACGGATTTCGTGCCATTCGTCGTGTAAGTCGCATCCTTCCTCGTCAGTAGAAGAAAGAAGCTAAATTAGTAGTGTAGTTTCAATTCAATAAAAAAAA